GGGCACGTGCGCTTGCCAGACAGACAGAGAGACAGAAAGCGAGAAATCACCCCCCAGGGGGAATGGCCACGCCGCAATCCCTTCTCCTCTTGGGATCTTGGGCACACACACACACACGTGCCCGGCATGAGTTTTAAGCCGCCAGGCCCGGGACGCAACCCACGTGAGAGTCCAGCGACGTAGCCATTACGCTAACTGCTGGTCCCACCTGCAGTGTTTTTTAAAATGTGTGTAATTTATTGTAGTATATGATGAGAAAATAAATGAGAGGCTCTTTTTTTTTTTTTTTTTTTTGGAACCTCACCTTACTAGAGTCCTACTTTGTTTATTCATTCGGTAAACATCTGTCTCCTGTTAGACAAGAAGGATACGAGGGGTCTTTAGAAGGGTCATAGGAAATGTATATTATGAAAAAACTACGCATGGATTTCCAACTTTTTTCACTAAAAGAAACGTGTACTTCCAGTTTTCCAAACTTCGTGAAGTCCCCTTGTATTGCCCTGCCCTTTCTCCTTCCAGTTCAGTTTACTAGAGTGTTCTCTCATCTAGTAATTCACCTCACTCATCTCCTCTCAGATGTTCTAGCCTGTTAACCTCATTATTCACAGATTATCGAAGTACCTTCTGTCAGAAGGAAATTTTGTTCAGAAATATTTGGGCTTACCTATATGACAACGGTTAAATTCTGCTTTGAAAAGTAACGTTTAAACATAACTAGTGTGTAATGTTTATGTCTTAGGTCCCTACAAACTTAATGACTTTCGAATAAAAGCCTGAGAAAGAAGAGCAGTGAAGTGCCGCTCTGCCGTGAGAGCGCCAGCTGCAGACCACCCCGTGCCAGGAGCAGCCCAGGGGCTCTGGTCAGCCTTTGGAGTTCTGAACCAAAAAAGCACTAATTTCAGGGAATCAAGTGAGATATTCCCAAAAAACAAATTGGAGTTGTATAACAAACTGCCATGAACCATGCTTCTTATCTCTGAACTGACCTGTGGAAACCACTGCCTTAAAAGAATGAAAGGAAAACCAACATGAAACACCAAATAGTGTGTGTGAATCTCCTGGCGGTGCTGTGCTTGGAATAGATTGTAGATAATTTGCATTTCTTTTAACTTTGTACTAATTTTGGAGGGGGGAATCACCTTTTTTAGATACACTTTAAAGAAGAGCAACACATTTTCTTACAGATTATATCAGGAGCTGGTTTGGGACTGAGCGGGAGGATGCGTTAGCCTGGTGGAGATTGTCCCAAGCCCGCCTGCAGGGTGCGTCCATCCTCGGGGAGTCTGCAGTCTCACTCGCGTTCTCAGAGAGTGTAGGGAGTAGATGTGTTTGTAGTGTGAGTTGTTGGGTTTTATGTGGAATTGGGGGGGAGGGCATTTTGTTTTGGATGGGGGAAGTTTTTTTAAACACTAAGCTTCTACAATTTAGTATTGTACAGGGAACATTATTTTCTGCAGGAGGTACCAAGGCGAGTGTTCATATGCTAGACACTTTTTTAAATGTAGGCTCCAGATGGCACGGCTGTTTCTAACGGGGGTTAAAGTTTAGCTTTCTATGTGCTTTATGAATTCATTGTTGGACCACAGATCTGCTTAGTAGAGAACCGTAATCTCAACCTAAACTTCCGTTAGATTTTACAATTAGATTTTTCAAGTGAATCGGATTATCCCTTCTCTCGGTTATGGATGATTTTTATCATTGAGGTGATATGTTGCTATTTTGCCAGGATATTTTCTTTTACAGTGTTTATTGTGCGTAATGCCAGAGTTATTTTTTTATTGCTCATTTTCATTATTTTTGTTCAATATGAAATTCAGGATTAGATTTTAAAAAGAGTCCATGTATGTATGTATGTATTTTAAGACATAGAAAATAATTTTGAGAGGGATAAAGGTGAAAGTTTGAGATTCTGGGATTTTTAGGTATCACTACTTTTCTCCTCCTCTGACTAACCATAAACATACCATAGGTCCCTGACATGAAAGTGTTGTTTTGTCGGTAGTTAACTAGGTGGTTTTATGAGCACTCATCTATGCAATAATGCATTTAGTTTCTGAAATAAATGTTGACTTATTAAAAGGAAAACACCTTTGAGGGTGAGATAACCTTAGAACTTAAACAAAAAATGACACTTGAACAAATGTTGAATGTTACAAACTTGTAAAGCATCATAAATTTTAGCCCAAAATAAGAAATGCTTTTTGACTGGTATCTGCTAACAGGCTTCATTCACTTTGAGCCTCCCATAAAATTTCTCACATTTGTATTATCAGACAATTTTGTAATTTTTTTTAATCCTGAGTATTTTGCCCCTGAGTCCATGGAAACTTAAATAGAAAATATTACCTGTACAATAATTAACTAAATATCTATCTAAACCTATCCAAAGGAAAAATAGAAGAGCTTTTCTGAGTGTTAAGTTTTGTAAACTTAGTGTTCTGTTTGGAAAAGATGTTAAGAGTTCATTTATGTTTTTCTTATAACACAGTTAGAAATACCACTGTTTTAGTGACAAGGCTAGAGAGGGCAAAATGTTGCCTGTGCTGAATGATTTCTCACTTGATGGTCTCTGAAGCTTACCCCATGTTGGGTGCGTAGACATCGTCCACATAGCCAGCAGTATTACTGTGTAGACCTTGCACAACTTAACTTCTGTTTTGCATTTTTAAAATTCCTTAATTTGTTTATTTCTCTTCAGAAATAGCATTTTTAACAGTGTGTGTGCTTTTTTTTTTTTTATATTGTGAATGAGAACCCTGTGGATTTATTTTTAACTATTATTTTGTCAGAAATAAGCTAAAGTGGGTTTGCTGTAGGTTAATCATATCTGTGGAGATATGCAACTGGAAGTCAGAGCCTGATATCACACAGTGTTGCCAAAGAGAGAGAAAGCTAAGATGTGTTTGATATTTTCAGCTCTAAACATGAATGGATGCTTGCATACAGTAAGAATAGTGCTCAGATTTGGTTCATAGCCTGTCAGTAGAATTGAGATCGCTGACCAACTGATGCTTGTAAAATAGCAATGCAACAGAAGTTGTCATTTTTCTATCTTCAGATTTGTTCATTTAAAAGATTAGTCATTGCTATTTAAGATTATTTTAGAATTTGAAGCAAACTGAAACCAGCAAGAAAAGAGAATTAAAATAGTATGAGTGGACTTCTAGTCTCTAATTTGCCAAATTACCTCTGATAATAACTCACACGAAGAAAATAGAAGTCACCAAAATATACGAAACATTTGGGTAGCTTTTTAGTGGGAAGATGAATCTTCTTATTAAGACTATCTCCGTTTGTAAATTAGTGACACTAGCACTCAAAATTTGCATCAGCATTAAGCTCATTTTTTCCTCCCCTAACCAAAAACTCACTGAAAATTCCACTGTGATTTCAATTTAAGCTGGTTAAGTGTCACAGGTGACATATTTAACACAGCCTGGTATAGTAGCGTATAAAACTAGCCAGAATACAATGTGGGGCACGTTTTATTTTAATAATTCATTCAAACATGAGGCTTATTTCTCATATGGAAGTATCTGTTTTAAAAATATTACTAGAAAAATAACTACATAATGACCTTCCTGAGCACTATTTTTGGTTTTATGCCCCTTCTATGTTCAGGCTGTGTCATTTTTTGAAAGTACTATTTTTACTGTAACCTTCAAACTGTAAGAATTTAAAGAGAACTGATCAAACACACCTTTCTGTTTCCTTTTCTTCACCATGTACATATTATTTGTGTAAACATCACAAAAAGGAATTCGAACAATTTGAGTTTGAGGATTTTTTCTTAGGCCTGTGCTTCAATGACAAGTATTTTTCCTGTGTGAAAAATGCCATACAACTATTGCACTACCTTCTGTATGAACTGTGTTGGTATCGGGTCTGTATGTCAAGAGCCGGGTGTTTATAGCTGCAGAGTTTTTTAAATGGTTTTATTCCTCTTCTAGAAGAGTTTTAAAGGAACCTAGGAAGCACTTAATTTGTAGAAGGAAAAGGAATAGGAATGTTTACAGTCTCTAGCGTATCTATGTTAGTTGAGACCGTCTATGAGTAGCCTGTTGACCTCGGGATTTTTCAAATTTACCTGGCCAAATGACGTGAGCATTAGTCTTTTTCATTTCTTTCTTTTTAAAAGTCCAGTCTGTAAGCCGTATGCTTTTACTACTATAAACAAAACTATAGGGCATCATACTTGGAAATCAGTAGTAATAAATTTAATTCATCAGCTTTTTAAAAGAATATATTCACTATTGATTTCCTTCCAGTTTTTCGAGGTACACTCTCTTACAATCAGTTTTTAAGCCACCCCATTATCTTCTGCAAACAAGGGGTACCAGTGTTGCTTACCAGAAGGTAATCTTTAATAAAAAAATTTTAAAAAACTTCTGCTTCAAATAATCGGATCCCTTTATGAAAATGAAGATGAATTTGGCCATGTCCTGGTGGAACAGTAGTGCTGTATTAGCCGATGTAAAGCCAGTGCTGAGGTTTGTCTGACTTCTTTAGTGACCTTATAGGGTTTGCTTTTATTTTCTCTCTCTTCTTTTGTATGACTTCTTTCAAACATAGCAAATTTATGATTTTTACAGCCAGAACAGTATTCTGTTTTTTCTAAGTTTTAAGATACAAAAAGTGCTATTTAATCACATCGATGTTCAATTATTTTCGATGTGAACCTTTTCAGAATGAGTTGAGTACCTTTTGGTTTTGCTCTCCTAAAAATGGCTTGTGTCTAAAGAGACTTTTTTTTTTTCATATATGGAGTGTTCTAATGAAAGAGACCTGTGTATACTAACTCAAGCTTATTTAAAGCAATTGCATTACACCTGTGTTTGAAGTCACAGTGTGGGGAAAATTTGGTCAGTGCCTTATCAATTTGAAGACCAATTTTAGGGCATCAAGTATGACAATAACCATTTGTCCTCTTGCTCCTCTGATTTCAGGAGTGTGTGCTAGCCCTCTCTCCACCAGCTTAATCTTTCTCACAGCAAGTCTTAGGAAGTCTATACAGATACCTCTAGGTAATTGTCACAGTCCTCCTTAGTTTTTGAAAAGTGTTTGTTTAAAAGCTCCCTCCTTGTTTCTCTTCTTTTAGAGTAGATTAAAAATAAACCTACCCAGATCAACCTTAGATAAGCACTCTGAAAAACAATTTTGAAAAGCATTCAGCCAAGTGGGTTTTTATTTTGTTGTCGATGTTGTTTTGGACATAGCTGTAATTATAAGGCCTTTTAAAAAAAAAATCCCTATAAAACACAGCTGAAAGGTTTGTTTGAATTTCATTAAAGGTACTGAAATCTTATAGCAAGAGCCCTCTTTGGCCAAAAAATAATTCAGTTAATTATTATATTTAAATGAGACTCGGAATGAACAAGCAGTCACTTAACCCACTACTTCTTGTTTTACTTGAAAATATTGTACAACAAAGTGAGATCAGCTCCAGTATATAAATTAGAGTTTTCTCGGTAAAAACAAAGTTTGGAAATAGTTTGCTTCACTAGGTTATTGGGAGGCCTGGAACTACTATTGTTCTTCTGAGTCAAGATGCTATTTTCACTTTGTAAAAGGGCTAGTGTGTTCTGCATAGGCAGGTAGACATAGTCTTTTAAGCCAAATAAAAGGGTCAACTGGTCTTTGAGGGTTGTTTATTAGCAGAAAATGGATTTTGGTTCTAGCCATTTGGACTGCAAGTGATGGCGGGATTTTAAAAATACATCTTTAGAGTACTTTGGGGTTGAATTTTTTTTCATAATAGAAAAAGCAGAAAAATTCACAAACATTAGCTGTGCTTTAGGTATCAAGTAACAAATACTCAGTTTCCCCTGAAGGTATCACCTGCTCTTGGGTCGTTGGAAAAGTCATGATGCATTTCACATTAAAAAAATAGAAAAATTGATCATGACTTTTCCAACAACCCAGTAGAACTATTCGCAAATATAGTCCAATAATTATTGACTTAGCAGGTGTGACAGAATAGCTGATAATTAGTCACCAGACTCAAGAATTTCCATACCTTGATTATTGACAAACTCATTGTTTTAGAACCTTCTGAAGTGTGTGTGTGTGTGGGGGGGGGGGGGGCTGCTGGGAAACTGGTTCACAGAATAATCTAAAGGAAATCAAACATCTGTAAGTACCCAATGATGACAATATGCAGGAAAACACAAGCCATTTTTTTCTTCTTTATCCCAATTAACTTGAGGTACTCCAGTGATGAAGCACTTGGTTGCACTATGACCTCCTTGAGTGATGTGCAGCTTGATTCCTCTCTCACTTTTTGTTTCTTTTTAATATGCAAATGTGAGTGCGTGACCTTCAGTGTGTTTGCATAATAAGCTAACTTAAAATGAATTTAAGTACGGTTTTCTGAAATATTTCTATTGAAATAAATGACTTAAAATATATATATTGTGTGAAGACATTTTGTTACCATATTTTCATTTTAATCATCAACTTTTGAAGTACACATACACTTTAAATTTTCCCCTTTCTGAAATAGTCAACGAGGTGATCGTTGGGACAGGGAAAGCTCTGTCTGGGTAACTTCAGCTGCTCTTCTCTAGCCCAGAACAAGAATGTGCCCTGACATGTGGACAGATGGGGTCTTGGAGAGGAGAAGACGTGGGCATAGTATTACCAACTACTTGTCAGAACAGTGGCACAGCGGTAACGCAACGGGACCCACGAAGGTTCCAAGTGTACGCCTAGGACCTTCCTGTGAACACGTGCACATGATCTGGGGTGGCTATTAGGGGTGCACCTTTTGGAAAAAGTACATAAACTTTGGGGAAAAAAATATTTCCACCTACATCTTCCCTACTCTGAGTATGTGATAGACAGGATCAATCCCCAGAGGACATCTTTGCTAATACTGTCTTCCATAGGTTATAAAATCAGACTTTTATTATTTTGATTATCTGAAAACAGAATCCATCTTCCAGCCCATGGAATTTTGTTTGTTTTTGAGAGGTGTTCGTTACAGGGCGGGTGCACTCCCCAGAAAGACAGAGACAGAAAGCAAGAAATCACCCCCCAGGGGTAGATGGCCATGCCGCAAGCCCTGCTCCTCTTGGGATCTTGGGCATGCACACACATGTGCCCAGCATAAGTTTAAGCCACCAGGTCCAGGACTCGAACCGCGGTCGACTACATGGGAGTACAGTGACATAGTATTAGACCATCTGCTGGTCCCCACCAGCCTATGGAGCTTTAAGTCAGAAGAGCAGAACACCCTGTGTTGTGTCTCCTATGAGTCGCTGGCTGCTATGTTGGTTCTGCCCTAAGGATTGCCTTGCGCTTAGCCCATAAGTGGTTTGGGAACCTTCCAGCCAGAACCAAATGCCCAGTGTTCTGGCAAACTGTAACTCAGTTTTCAGCAGTTTTCTCACTTCTCTAGTGGCCTTTGAAAATTCTCTTTACTGGAACCAAAAACTGACAATTCTCCAGTGAGCTCAGCTTGTCTTTACCTCACAGCACCACCACCTTCATACTGGTTTTCCATGTGTACACATAACAAATTCCCCTTTACTTAATTTTTCATTTGTTGGGTATCACTGAGCCAGTATATACTGTTTTCATTACTCTGTGGCTACGTAAGTCATTATGTGGTGAGGTAATATCTATGTTCTTCAAAATTGCTGTAGCTATTCTTGACTCTTGTCTTCCCTGTAAATTTTAGGATCAGCTTTTCATGTACAAAGAAAACACTGTTTTCTTTATTTTCTGATTTTTTTTATACTGTATTTGCTTTGGATTTATAGGTTAATTTGAGAGTTAACAGTTTGGAAGTTTATTCCTCTCATCTAAGAACATGAAATGTCTCTCGTTTTTAAGACCTTGGATAATGCCCTTCAATGATGTTTTAATTTCCTTCCCAGTAGTCTATATCTCTTGTTGGTTTATGTCTAGGAGAATTTGGTTTTGTTTCCAGGAATATGAATTTTTGTTCTGTATCCTCCCTGATTACTACTCGTGTGTAGGAATGCTATTGATTTGGAGGTCGATCGTTCGTTACATCCAGCAACCCCATTGAACTCCCTTCTCTAATTGAAGTGGTTTGTCCATAGATTCTATTGAAATCATATTAGCTGCAAATAAGGACAGTTGTCTCTTCCTTTCCAGTTTTTCTACCTTACCTGTTTTTGGTTTTTGTTTGTTGGTTTGTTGGTTGGTTTTGCCTTAACTGCATTTAGCTCGTACTCCAGTTCGATGTTGAGTGAGCAATGAGAGCATGCCAGAGAATTAAATTCTTTCTTCACAGAAAACCTCAGCCAAGCCCTGGTATGAGCCCTAAGCTTGTTACTACAATGGAGCCGAAGTATAATTGTTTTCATTTTCTTTTTAGGCTAAATAACTTCAGCTAGAATTTTAGCTTTTTCTCTTGTGATGCACATTTATACTCTTTCTCAAGCAGAGAATGAGTGGCCGTTTACTGTCACCCATCATTGGATGCTTCAGTCAATATTAAATGAAATACTGGGTCATAAGAATATTGCAGAATTGAGGGCATCAGCATGTGATGGAATTTTTCCTCTATATCACTAATTCTCAACTGGTAGTGGCTTTGTCCCCCAGGAGATTTGTGTCTGGAGACATTTTTGGTTGTCACAACCAGGAGAGTGTTCTACTGGCATCTAGCAGGCAGAGGCATGGGATTCTGCTAAACATACTGGAGTGGGCAGGACTGTCCCCCACCGGAGAGAGTTACCTGTCCCAGTTATGCCAGCGTTGGAAAACCTTGGTCTGTGTGAGTGACTTCTTATATCTCAGAAGCTCCACATGTTGAACTTGGTTGTAGGAAAGAGTTTGGGTATGGTTGGCAGGGGACTTTAACTCTTTTCTAAAAGTTAACCTCTCTCATAGAAGTTTAGTCTGCTGAATCAAGGAGAAAAACTAGATTAATGGCATGAGGATATATTTAAGGACTGGGCCATGTACTGGCTGAAGTATTTGTTGAGTTAAAAACTAAATGTTTCAGCCTAAAGCCAGAATAGTGGGAACATTCTAAATGAGCATAGAACTGCAGGAATGTTTTTGTCTAGCTCTGTGTATGATTCATCTAAGCCAGAAGGGATGACCCTGATAGGTCCAAATAGGTTATCAATATGTCAGGTTAAATTGTTTATTTAATCTGAGCTTCAATTAAGGCAGAGGTGATTTTCTTTTTTTTCTTTTTTTTACTTTTTTTTTGCTATCAAAATACTATACCATGATTGTAAGAAGTGTGTGCAATATTAAAAGCACGAGAGCGAAAGTCACCTGTCTCATCAGCCTAATTCCCATCTCCATATAATGAAACGCTTACCTTTGACTCAGTTTCTGTAATCCGAGCCTAATTACTTTCCAGCTCACATTTTGTACACTTTTGATTTTCCTCCTCTGAATCCTCTGCCCTCCTTAAGGCTCTCCACTATATATACTTGGTGCTGTTACAGCTAAAAGCATAGAAACAAATAGTCTTTCTGAATAGGCCTTTCATATGTTGGTTATATTATTTTTATTTAAGGGGCATTAAATGTAACTATCACAAAACATCTGCATCATGAAAAGGCTTACTTGCATAAAACAGATTATGTAAAGAATCAAAGAGCATCTCTGAATGATGAATAAAACTAGACGGCATTTCCTGCTTCCCTATAACAGACAAGTAGATTCAGATGTCAGAATTCTTCAGGCAAAGCATTATTCATTGAGCTATGTGAAATTTTTTCAGTATTTAATCACTTTAGATCTGTAAAATGGCAATTTCATGTGTCTGTTCCAGTATTTGAAGAGCAAAAAAAAAAGGTCACAAGTCACAATTTATTGCAGGTCTTCAAAAGGCAGTTATCATTGGGACTGTTTTATTAAGACAAATGGATTCGAAATTTGAGACACGGCAACACTTTTTTCTGACCGTGATGGAAGTTTCCATTAACTCTCATTTTGACTTAGGAACTCAAGGTAACACAATTTCTGCCCTTTAACTTTCATTTTAAGGTGTTTAGTTTTTCTCCTTTTTTTTTTTTTTTTTTTTTTTTTTCCTTTTTTTTTTTTTTTTTTTTTTTTTAATCTACTGCTGTCTACCTAGGGTAGGCCCCATAGTACAGCAGTTAAGCCACTGCATAGGAAACTGAATCCCACTTGACTGGCCAGTGTTAAAGTTCTGGGGTTTATACACACAGGTACACACAAGCCCAAGATCTTGATGGGATGAGAATTGAGGGGGTGAGAGGGGTGGAAAAGGCAAGGATTGAAATGTGACTAGGCCCCCACTGAAAAGAGGGTTGCTTTCTCGTGCATGCCCAGGCCCCCTCTGGCATAAGAAAAAACTTAAAAATACAGAATTCAATTTAAAAGAAAATAGTCCACCTCAAAAAATCATATATATATACACACACACACACGCACATTGAAATTGAAACAGGCCAGCAATAGAAGAGGATTCTAGGAATATGGTCCCTACCTCAAAAATTGCACTGAGACCAGCAGTTAGCGTAGTGGCTATGTTGCTGGACTCCCACATAGTCACCCACGGTTCACATCCTGGACCCAGTAGCTTAAAACTCACGCCAGGCGCATATGCGTGCGTCCCCAAGATCCCAAGAGGACAGTGGAGGAGAAGGGATTGTGGCGTGACCATCCCACCTGGGGGGTGATTTCTCACTTTCTGTCTCTGTCTCTGTCTGTCTGGTGAGTGCACGCTCCCTATGGCAAAAACCTCTCCAATAAAAAAACCAAAAAACAAAATTTGCACTGACAGACTTACCTGATAAGACTGTTTTAGAACTCTAGAGTCTGTTGAAGACTTAAAATTTTAATAAAATGTAATTTTGATTTATTTCAGCTCTTAGCTCAGTAACAGCTACTCATCTTTCACTCCCAGCCCTGTGGCAAGCTACTGTGTAGTGTTCCTAAAGCAGCCTGCACAGTTGCAGAAACTGGATTGTGAATACGAAGACCCTGTCTTCCAAATACCAGATAACTGTATTCTGACTCTTTATTGCTGCTTCTGATTACAGAGGTGCAAACAAAGATGCAATGTTGATACAACTCCTATTGTAAAATCCTCCCTCTCTCACTGAAGTGACTTCTAGGGGCTCTAAAGGACTGATACTACCCCCACTTTATCTTTTTCTTCTTTTGGAAGCAAGACAGTAAAGACTAGGATATCTAAAAGCAACTGCATATTTGGTGACAGTTAGGCCATACATGCCCAGGGAAACACAAGCTTACCTGAGAAGACTTTAAATTCATAGCTCAGCCTGATCCTTGGCACAGAGACAGCTTACAACAATCAGAATTTTTTTTAAAAGAGAGAGAAAGGGGGGAGGGAGACTGATCTCTAGAGTTTCACATTATTAGATTCAAATGCCCAATTTCTAACAACAACATAGTCAAAAGCATACAAAGAAATAGGAAAGTA